CATCTCCTTGCCACCGTGATGACGACGAGAGAGAGAGACACGCAAACTCCAAATACACAGCAGGCATCAGGGTCAGGATCAAACCCACGTACCTCCTGCACACCAGGCGAGGTAGTTAACATCTCCTAGCCACCATGATGATGATGATGAGAGAGAGACACGCAAACTCCAAATACACAGCAGGCATCAGGGTCAGGATCGAACCCACGTACCTCCTGCACACCAGGCGAGGTAGTCAACATCTCCTAGCCACCGCTTTGGGTTTTGTTTCTCGAGTACTCAACCCGTTAAAGCAAACCGCGCGAACTTGAAGCCATTCGTGTGCTGCTGTTGGTGTGTCCCTGCTGCTGCTGCTGCTGCTGCAAGTTTGTGTCCCCCGTGTGCCCCCCGCGTGCCCCCCGCGTGTGCCCCCCGCGTGTCCCCCGTGTGCCCCCCGTGTGCCCCCCTCGTGTCCCCCTTGTGCCCCCCTCGTGTCCCCCTCGTGTCCCCCGTGTGCCCCCCTCGTGCCCCCCTTGTGCCCCCCTCGTGTCCCCCTCGTGTCCCCCTCGTGTCCCCCTTGTGCCCCCCGCGTGTGCCCCCCGCGTGCCCCCCTCGTGTCCCCCTTGTGCCCCCCTCGTCCCCCCCGTGTGCCCCCCGCGTGTCCCCCCGCACGCACGATCTCTCGCCCCCCCCTCGCCCCCCCCCCTCTCTCCACACCCCAGGCGGCGCAGCAGCACCACCGGCTCTCGGTGCTCCGTGCCTTCGCCCTGGCATGGAGCGGAGCCGCTGGCGACGCCGCCCGGGAGAGGGAGCGCCGGGCGGCGAGCCTCCACTCGCGCCACTCGCAGGGGAGGGCCTTCACCACCTGGATGGAGGTACCGGGGGGGGGGGCGTGGGGGGTGGGGGGGGGGGGGGGGGTCGGGCGGCACTTCGACGGCCAGGGGCCCCGAGCGTTGTTGCACGCCGGCGTCACAGGTGCGTTGCTTGACTTCGGATAACCCGAGCGGTTACGGGTATCCATTGCGGTTTATATGGACACGGTAACCACACCACCGCCAGCACCCACCCATCATCCCCTATGGTCGTGGCGCCTGATTGGCTAGCAAGTAGAGGGCGTCGCATTCATCGCAGCCCGGGGATTTGTGACCGAAAGAGGCTGGAGGATTTGTCCACGACTCCTCTGGCTGCAGCCTGATGATGCCGGTTGTTTGTTGTTGTTGTTTGTTGTTTGTTGTTGTTGTTGTCGTAATCACCGGCCGCAACGTCACGGCGGTTCGAGTTGTAAATGTTGTTGTGGGTTTACTCTCCAACACACAAATTGGTCGTGTGCTGAACTAACAACGAATTGGCCACGTTTTGTTCACGCGACGAACACCTGACTCACTGACCGGATCGGGCGGTGGTCGTTTCAACGACAAATTTACATTCAATGTCCATTTGAAGCTTTCGTGACTGCAGGAATCCATACTCTCGGGCTCTGTCGGTAAAGTCACGTGGGCTAGAAAAATAAAATATGAAATAAATCACGCAACACAAGCGTCCATCATCAGGTGGGAAAGCTCTGATGAAGGACGTTTGTATTGCGGATTATATGGACACAAGATATAGGAATAGGTTTTACCCTTTTAACTGGCACAAAAAACTGACACCTTTATTCAAGGCATCATCTTCTTTGGTTCTTTCTGTAAAGTCACGTAGAATGAGAATAAAAGGAGGAGGCGCATCATGATAGTTTTAGTTTATGGGACAATGTTTTGCCGTGTCAAGCAAGCAAGATCGTCGGAACTGAAGCATGGGAAAAAGAGAACGGGCAGATGCGGATGTATTTATACTGGGGAAATCCGATGAGCTATGAAGCTCTTTCTCACAGATGTCCGGTAGTCACAGATGTTTGGTCGTCACAGATATTGTCCAGTCGTCACAGACGTCACCCCGGTAGTCACAGACATCACCCCGGTAGTCACAGATGTCACCCCGGTAGTCACAGACGTCACCCCGGTAGTCACAGACGTCACCCCGGTAGTCACAGGTGTCACCCCGGTAGTCACAGATATTGTCCAGTCATCACAGACGTCACCCCGGTAGTCACAGACGTCGTCCCGGTAGTCACAGATGTCACCCCGGTAGTCACAGATGTCACCCCGGTAGTCACAGACGTCACCCCGGTAGTCACAGACGTCACCCCGGTAGCCACAGACGTCACCCCCGGTAGTCACAGATGTCACCCCCGGTAGTCACAGATGTCACCCCGGTAGTCACAGATGTCACCCCGGTAGTCACAGATGTCACCCCGGTAGTCACAGACGTCACCCCGGTAGTCACAGACGTCGCCCCCGGTAGTCACAGACGTCACCCCCGGTAGTCACAGACGTCACCCCGGTAGTCACAGACGTCACCCCGGTAGTCACAAATGTCACCCCGGTAGTCACAGACGTCACCCCGGTAGTCACAGACGTCGCCCCCGGTAGTCACAGACGTCACCCCCGGTAGTCACAGACGTCGCCCCCGGTAGTCACAGACGTCACCCCGGTAGTCACAGACGTCACCCCGGTAGTCACAGACGTCACCCCGGTAGTCACAGACGTCACCCCGGTAGTCACAGACGTCACCCCGGTAGTCACAGACGTCACCCCCGGTAGTCACAGACGTCACCCCGGTAGTCACAGACGTCACCCCGGTAGTCACAGACGTCACCCCCGGTAGTCACAGACGTCACCCCGGTAGTCACAGACGTCACCCCGGTAGTCACAGACGTCACCCCGGTAGTCACAGACGTCACCCCGGTAGTCACAGGTGTCACCCCGGTAGTCACAGACGTCACCCCGGTAGTCACAGACGTCACCCCGGTAGTCACAGACGTCACCCCGGTAGTCACAGACGTCACCCCGGTAGTCACAGACGTCACCCCCGGTAGTCACAGACGTCACCCCGGTAGTCACAGACGTCACCCCGGTAGTCACAGACGTCACCCCGGTAGTCACAGACGTCACCCCGGTAGTCACAGACGTCACCCCGGTAGTCACAGACGTCACCCCGGTAGTCACAGACGTCACCCCCGGTAGTCACAGACGTCACCCCCGGTAGTCACAGACGTCACCCCGGTAGTCACAGACGTCACCCCGGTAGTCACAGACGTCACCCCGGTAGTCACAGACGTCACCCCGGTAGTCACAGACGTCACCCCCGGTAGTCACAGACGTCACCCCCGGTAGTCACAGACGCCGTTCCCGACGGACGTGCCGGTGCGTGGGGCCCATCAACGGCTCCGAGCGCGACGCGACCGCCGGCCGGCTGGGGTCGACTCGCCACGCGGTCAGTCGCTCGCCGCGCCGTTACCGGGCGCGCCGAATTGCCAGGCGAGCTTGCCAGCAGGCGGCGGGGGAGGATGGAGCGTGCTCACGGCACCGGCTATCAAGGATCCCCTCCTCCTGGCATCGCTGCTGCCACGGCAGCCCTGCCGTCGACGCCATTTAACGATTTCTGTTCGCGCTTTTTCGCTGATATTTTTATTTTCTCTCTGTCTCTCTCTCTCTCCTCCCGCTCGCTCGCTCGCTCGCTCTCCTTCCTCGCGATGTCGCAACCGGACGCCCGCGTGTCGACGGTGGATTTCCTTCCCGGACTGTTCCCCCGATTGATTCCGGGAAGGGGGGGGGGAGAGGGGAGGAGGATATATTTAAAAAAATTAAAGCAAGAGCAGCAGCCCAAATGACACCGGCTGAGGAGCCGATTGCGAGGGACGATGAATTGACCCCCTTACGGCACCCTGTCTGTTCAGCAGCGGCGCTGGCGATCGTCGCAAACGGTAGGTGAACGGAGTGGCTTGTCGTCGTTGTCGCGCTGGGAATGTATAGCAGCGGCCAAACACAGACTCGTAGACACCCACAGAGACCCGTCGAGACACCCACAGAGACCCATACTCATAGAGACCCATACAGACCCACAGAAATCCACACTCATACAGACACATACAGACCCATAGAGATCCATACTCATAGAGACCCATACAGACCCACGGAAATCCACACTCATACAGACACATACAGACCCACAAAGATCCATACTCATAGAGACCAATACAGACCCACAGAAATCCACACTCATACAGACACATTCAGACCCACACAGACCCATACTCATAGAGACCCATACAGACCCACGGAAATCCACACTCATACAGACGCATACAGACTCACACAGATCCATACTCATAGAGACCCATACAGACCCACAGAAATCCACACTCATACAGACACATTCAGACCCACACAGATCCATACTCATAGAGACCCATACAGACCCACAGAAATCCACACTCATACAGACACATACAGACTCACACAGATCCATACTCATAGAGACCCATACAGACCCACAGAAATCCACACTCATACAGACACATACAGACCCATAGAGATTCATACTCATAGAGACCCATACAGACCCACGGAAATCCACACTCATACAGACACATACAGACTCACACAGATCCATACTCATAGAGACCCATACAGACCCACGGAAATCCACACTCATACAGACGCATACAGACTCACACAGATCCATACTCATAGAGACCCATACAGACCCACAGAAATCCACACTCATACAGACACATTCAGACCCACACAGATCCATACTCATAGAGACCCATACAGACCCACGAAAATCCACACTCATACAGACACAAACAGACCCACACAGATCCATACTCATAGAGACCCATACAGACCCACAGAAATCCACACTCATACAGACATACAGACCCATAGAGATCCATACTCATAGAGACCCACAGAGACCGTCGAGACACCCACAGAGACCCACAGAAATGCACACTCATAGAGATTCACGGAGACCCACAGAAACCCATACTCAGAGACCCACAGAGACCCATACGCATAGAAACCCACAGAAACCCACAGAGACACATAGAGACCCATACTCATCGACACCCATACAGACCCACAGAGATCAATTTTAATAAGGACCCACAGATCCACGTAAATCCATACTCATAGAGACCCATACAGACCCACAGAGACCCATACTCATAGAGACACATACAGACCCACAGAAATCCACACTCATACAGATACATACAGACCCATAGAGATCCATACTCATAGAGACCCACAGAAATCCTCACTCAAGCTACCTGGCCATCACAAATGATAGCTCAACGAAACGGCTCATCATCGCGTTGGAAATGTACAGCAAGCAGCGAAATACTCTAACCAATGCGTCACGTCGATTACAAAATGTGGATGGGAAAAAGTGGAGGGGAATTCCACGTGACGACGGGAAGAGAGGGACTACGCAAACTCCCAATATACAGCAGCAGGTGTCAGGGTGGGGGATCGAACCCCCGATCTCCTGCACACCAGGCGAGGGAGTTAACATCTCACCACTATGATGATGATGAGAGAGAGAGAGAGACACGCAAACTCGAAAAATACAGCAGCAGGCGTCAGGGTCGGGATTGAACCCCGACCTCCTGCATGCCAGGCGAGGTAGTTAACATCTCCTAACCACCGTGATGATGATGATGAGAGAGAGAGACACGCAAACTGCAAATACACAGCAGGCATCGTCAGGTTTGGGATAGAACCCACTAACTCCTGTACACCAGGCGAGGTAGTTAACATCTCCTAGCCACCGTGATGATGATGAGAGAGACACGCAAACTGCAAATACACAGCAGCAGGCATCGTCAGGGTCGGAATCAAATCTACGACCTGCTGCGTACCAGGCGAGGTAGTTAACATCTCCTAGCCACGGTGGCGCCCCCTCCCTACCACCACCACCCCCCCCCACCCCCCGCCGCCATGACGATGCGAAAGAGTCACTCAAAAACTCCCATTTGTTGCGTGATCCCTCCACCACCACCACCACCCCCGCGCCCCCCCCCCGTCGACTGGCAGTACGTGGGCAGCTTGAGACGCGCGGAGGAGGAGGCTTCCGGGACACACGGCAGGAAGCTCGTGGAGAGGGCCTTCCGTGCCTGGCGTGCCGTCGCCACGCAGGAGAGGCGGGCGCTGTGGGAGAAGGAGGAGGCCGCCGTGGGACACGCCGACAGGTGACGAGGTTCTCCGCAAGCCATCTGGCCACCACGGGAGATTCGTTCCCGAGGCCATCCACGCACATATGCGAACACAGAGACAAAAATTCAGCCGAGGGGGATGGATTCTGGCTTAGCAATCATTGGAAGGATTCGATTAACCATCTCGGGTCTTAATTGATTGTTCACGCTCACGGTGGGCTTTCAGACAGCGTGCATTAAAATTTTTCGTCTCTCCCCTCCTCTTTTCCGAACATAGATGGACTCGTCCATCTGAAACAAACCGGCAAATCGCTCTCCGTGGTGCTAACGTTAAGAAGAAAAAAAACGCCGCTTTTTTCCAAATTTTCTTTGCTGTGGTTTTGAACACCTGACGATGATTGCTTGTGCTGCAGTCGAAACGTCGTGAGAATTTAATTGTTTTATATATATATATTTTTTTAAAAAAAATAATTTTATTGTTTCCCTTCTAACGTGGCGGCGACTTTTTTCCGAAAGGACCAAGGATGTGTTTACATGCGTGTCCCCCTCGCCCGGTGCGCGGGAGGTCGCGCGTCCGATTGCCGACCCTGACGACGCCTCTATTTGGCGAGATGTTAACTACCTCTCCGGGTACACGGGAGCTCGACTCGGACCGCGAATGAGTACCCGACGCGGTGTGTAAACACCGCCGCTCGGAACACAAGGGGCGGCCGGGCGGGCGGGCGGGCGGGCGGGCGGGCGGGCGGGCGTGGTTGCTCGCTAAAGGCGCTTGCCCCTGCAGGTCAACGTGGAGGGGGGCTGGCTACACGGGCGGCGATCCTTTGTCAGCGACGTTTCGTTCCGTTTGTCGCCGCGCGCCGTCCAGGCGGCGCTCGTATCGGGCCCTCGCGGCCTGGCGACGGCTCCCGGCGTTGGCGCGGCAAGCGAGGGAGCGGGAGGCGAGGCTTGCCGAGATGCGGAGGAAGGTGGCGCAGCTGCTGCCAGACTTCCGCTCGTAGTGACGACGATCGGGCGCGGGGAAGGAGTACCCCCACCCCACCCCCACCCCACCACCCCCCCCGGGGGGGGGGGCCCCCCGGCGATCCTCCGAAAGCTGTTGAACGAAAAGCGATTTTGGGCTGCGGGCAAAGCGGGACCGCCCCGACAACCCCCTGCCGTGCAGCCCGCTTTGCTCGGTTAGCGACCCGGCTCTCGCAATTGATGGCTCCGTCACCGTCATCGTCATCGCCGCGCGGGAATTTATAGCATCGGGACCGCTCCCGATATGATTTTTTTGCCACTGATGCCAGCCGGTTGCTGGGAATCGAAATCCGGTCACTGAGTTTACTGGCCCAGCGCCCAGACCACCGCATCGCAACATTACAAAAAATGTTTTTTTTTTATATATATACGGGGGGTGTTTACATTATGAGACCTCCTTTGCCAGAAACAAGGAGGTCTCATAATGTAAATGCTCACCCCGTGCCCTCACTACTCTGATAGTGGCGCTGTTTTTGAGTTGTACGCCTTTTGGCGTCTTCTGGTCCAACACCAGTGGAGATTAAGGGCTCTAAGAAAAGCCGTCTTGGGTGTGGACCAATCAAATTCAAGGACAGTGCTAATATTATTATCAGAGTTGTCTTCTTTTTTGTTTGCATTCTGACTGCTTGTGTTGTGGTTTTTGCAAACATGATGCCTTGAATAAAGGTGTCAGTTTTTGTGCCAGTTAAAAGGGTTAAACCTATTCCTATATACGGGGGGTGGTTAAAAAAATATAAAAAAAAACACGCGCGAACACTTCCGAGGATTCGCGACAACAGCGCGAGAGAGAGAGACGCGCTGCCTCCGGGCCCTGGGATCCACCTAGGGAAGATTCCAGGCGGAGACTTCGACGGTGACGGCCAACAACGTGACTTTACCGAAAGAGCTAAGAATATATGAATTGCTGCAGTCACGAAAGCTTTAAATCAAAATTTCAGCGGGAGATCCTGTGGCCTTTTGACGCTAATTAACGTTACATTTATTTTTTTTGTTATTTGAAGCTTTCGCGACTTGCGGCGATTCATATTCTTCTTTCCGTGAAGTCACGCAGATATAAAATCAAGTGAAAAAAATTATTAAATGAAGTATATGTTAAACGTTTTTTTTATTTTTTATTTAAAGCTTTCGTGACTGAAGGGATTCATATTCTTGGTTCTTTCGGTAAAGTCACCACGTAGAACAATTAAAATAATAAAAATATAAAACAATAAAATTCTCACGACGTTTCGACTGCAACACAAGAAGCAATCATCATCAGGTGTGAAAACCAGAGCAAGAAAATTTGAAAAAAAAAATGTTCTTGCTGTGGTTTTCACACCTGATGATGATTGCTCGTGTTGCAGTCGAAACGTCGTGAGAATGTTATTGTTTTATATTTTTATTATTTTATTGTTTCCCTTCTACGCGGTGACTTTACCGAAAGAACCAAGAAGATGTTACATTTATTGTCATGTTTACGGTGTCGTATTGTCCGCCCCCTTTTTTTCCCCCATTAAAAACTACAGTCCCATGTAAGTTGTTGACACTTTTTGGTTTTTAAGCGCCCCCTGTATTAGCTGTTTCTTTTTTTTATCATACCCGGTAAGTGCCCGCCGGGCTGCCGTGCGGCGATTTTGCTCAGGCGCGACCCGACTTTCGCAAATGATGGCTCAACGAGGTGGCGTGCCACCACCACCATCATCACCATCATCGCCATCATCGCCATCATCACCATCATCACCATCATCGCCATCATCATCATCATCGCCATCATCACCATCGCCACCACCATCATCACCATCATCGTCATCATCATCATCGCCATCATCGTCATCATCGCCATCATCGCCATCATCGCCATCATCACCATCATCGCCATCATCACCATCATCGCCATCATCACCATCATCAGCTCCAGCCAGGGCCCAACTGGGGGCAATAGCGGGTCCGGCCTGTTCCAAGTCGGACTCTCGTGGGTCAGCCAATCTGGAGGGCTGCTAGGAACCGGAGGTGGACACCCCAGGCCCCTAGTGGTGGTGGTGGGGGGGGGGATTGCGCAACAATCTAGGTCCCTCCAGAAGGTTCCAGAGAGTGGGCGTGGCCAGGGGCGGAGTGTCCCCAGGGAGCCCCGTAAAGAGGCGGAGCCCAGAGCGGCTGCGGCAGTCCGCGACGAGGCGAAGATCGAGGAAGCTCGCCTGAAGACCAGGACCCTGGAGATCCCCGGACCCGCCGTCCTTCTCAGGAGTCCGTGTGGGCCAGTGGTCGAGAACCCGAGGAACCCTGGCCGGGTCTGGTCAGCCTCCCTTTAAGTCCCGTTAGCCGGAGGGCTCAGATTTGGGTGGTCTCAGTTGCTGGGGTACGTTAGCCCAGAGGCTGTACCTCTTCAGGTCGTCCTTTGTGTTAGGGGCCCGGTGTGTTAACGTTATTGTTAAATAAATACGCGTTGCCTCCTAAGAAGACTCCGTCTCCATACAACCCACGACAATTCAGCACCGGGTCCATTTTACTCGAGAGCACTGAGACTCGGTGAAGGATCCCCACTGGGCATTTCAGACTACGAGCACACAAAACAAAACTTCAAAAAATTATCATTCATTGAACCACTCCTGATGTGGCATCTGTACATCCGTGCATTAGCATGCACGGTTTTGTACATCGCACTATTCAAACAAATTAAAACACATTTTTGTTATTGTCATCAGGTAAGGTCCCACTGAGCTTCGCGGGTCTTTTCTTCAGAAGCGACCTGCCAATCACAAACGGTAGCTCGCACGGAGTGGCTTATCAACATCATCAATGTTCTAAAACGCATGACGTTGAGTCTAAATATGGAGGAATCAACTGGAGGATCCGGGGGGGGGGAGGGGGGGGAAATAAACTTGGCGACAGGGAGAGAGAGAGAGGCAATCTACAAATATACAGCAGCAGCAGGCGTCAGGGGTCGGGGTCGAACCCACGACTTCCTGTATACCAGGCGAGGTAGTTAACATCTCCTAGCCACCGTTGCGCCCTTACAATGCGTCGCAACAGAGGGACGTTTACATTATGAGACCTTTGTTACTGGCAAAGGAGGTCTCATAATGTAAATGCTCACCCCGAGCCCTCACTACTCTGATAGTGGCGCTGTTTTTGAGTTGTGCGGCTTTTGGCGTCTTCTGGTCCAACACCAATGGAGACTAAGGGCTCTAAGAAAAGCCGTTTCGGGTGTGGACCAATCAAATTCAAGGACAGTGCCAATATTATTATCAGAGTTGTCTTTTTTGTTTGCATTTTGACTGCTTGTGTTGTGGTTATTGCAAACATGATGCCTTGAATAAAGGTGTCAGTTTTTTGTGCCAGTTAAAAGGGTAAAACCTATTCCTAGAGGGACGTTTGTCCGCGTGGCGGCGGTGAGACGGAATTTTTTTTATCCCACTTTAATTCCAGCAGACGTCATTTGACCAAATTAGCCAGCAAAAAAAATAATCAAAGAAAATAACCCCCCCCCCAAAAAAAAAAAATAGCAGTTGTGAGCGAATGCAGACATTGATCAACCGATATAAGTTTCCTTTTTGCCCTGTTGTTGTAATTAAAAACGATGCGTGATAATTAAAGTGTTTTTTTTTTCGCTAAACAATCCACAATGTTGGATACGCGTCGATTTATCGCGTAACGTATTCAAGCACGTGCGTATCTCACGATGTTTTTACTTTTTTTAATATAAAAAAAACGTCATCTTTATTGGCAGCAGTCTATCGGAGCCGCTGCTGGATGTCTACGTGCGTGCTCTCTCGATCATTGGGGGGTTGTGTTTGACCATACTTCACCACGCTGGTCAGTGTGGGTTAGTGAGAGGGGGAGGTGGGTGGGGGGGGCAGGGGAGTGACGTGGAAAGACCAGATCAGCTGTCGCTCGCCACCGATATGAGCTGTAGCAGGGGTTCAAACTCAGGTCATTAATCCACCACGTAATCTACTTAATTTGACACGAGTCCGTAGCTTTAATAATGCACTCAAAAGTGTGAACATTTAGCAGGTCTCCGTCTACAAAGATGCATTTTGTTTTGGTTTGTACGGTGGCTAGGAGATGTTAACTACCTCGCCTGGTATACAGGAGGTCGTCGGTTCGATCCCAACCCAGACGATGCCTACTGCTGTATATTTGGAGTTTGCGTCTCTCTCTCTCATAAACATCATCACGGTGGCTATGAGATGTTAACTACCTCGCCTGGTATACAGGAGGTCGTCGGTTCGATCCCGACCCAGACGATGCCTACTGCTGTATATTTGGAGTTTGCGTGTTTCTCTCTCTCATCAACATCATCACGGTGGCTAGGAGATGTTAACTACCTCGCCTGGTGTACAGGAGGTCGTGGGTTCGATCCCGACCCAGACGATGCCTGCTGCTGTATATTTGGAGTTTGCGTGTCTCTCTCTCTCTCTCATCAACATCATCACGGTGGCTAGGAGATGTTAACTACCTCGCCTGGTATACAGGAGGTCGTGGGTTCGATCCAGACCCTGACGCCCACTGCTGTGTATTTGGAGTCTGCGTGTCTCTCTGTCTTTCCCCGTGGTGGCGTGGATTTTCATCCGCGTCCTCCGATTTTCTCCCTCCACGTTGAGAATCTACATCACGCGTTCAGGGAATTTTTGCTGATGCTATAAATTGCCACGTGATGATGATGATAAGCCACATCGTTGAGCTATCATTTGTAATATCCAGTGACGCTTCTGACAAAGAGCTACGTAGCATTAATTCTAGATTTGAAGCTTTCGTGACTGCAAGGATTCACACTCGTTTTTTTTCGGTAAAGTCACGTAGGAAAAATAAATGAAAACAACTCATCTTCTTTGGTTCTTTCGGTAAAGTTACGTAGAATGAGAATAAAATAATAAATTGATAAAATAAAATAACACAATAAAATGCTCACGACGTTTCAGCCACAACACAAGCGGCCTTCATCAGGTGAAGGGACGAGACTGTCTGGAGGACAGCGCTGGAGCGAACACATCCAAGCTCAGACCGCGACCTTTAAGCTGTGTGAGAAGAAGCAGAGTGCCTTGACAAAGGAATAAGCATAGAATTTAGCATTGAAATAGCTGAGTGATTAGCTTGTGACTGGTCACAGAAATGGCTATGTTAAAGTTAAAGCATACACATCCACAGAGGCACCTAGTACAAATCAACACAGCTTAAAGGTCGCGGTCTGAGCTTGGCTGTGTTTGCTCCAGCGCTGTCCTCCAGACAGTCTCGTCCCTTCACCTGATGAAGGCCGCTTGTGTTGTGGCCGAAACGGCGTGAGAATTTTATCGTGTTATTTTATCATATTATTATTTTATTCTCATTCTACGTGGTGACTTTACCGAAAGAACCAAAGAAGATGAATCCTTGCAGTCACGAAAGCTTTAAAGCGAAAACAACTCAATTAAATCACGACGTTTTCCTAGGCAACACCAAGCTTCCGTCTTCATCGCAGAAACCGTCACAGCAAAAATTGCTG